CTCCAGGAGAGGGATAGGGCAGGGAGCGGGGCCAGGCGCCCGGGAGCTGCAGGGAGAGAAGGGGCCATGGCCAGGTAGGGATGGGGCCAAGATACACAGTAGAGTCCCTATCATCTGACATATTCGGTAATCTGACCATCTGTCGGTCCTGTTTAGGTCGGATAATTGGGACTCTACTGTAATGGTAGCAGTACTGCAACACCCACTACAATACCCTTGTGATAACCTGCACAACTCCCTTTTGGGGTCACAAGGAACTCTACAATTACAAGATTGTAAACTTTCAGATTTAAGTAGCTGAAATCATGAAACTTATGATTTTTAAGTTCTATGATTGTGAAATTGACCATGAACTTGGTGGGCCCTAGTATGGAGTTTGAAGTCTTGTTTATTGGCAGATCAGGGGCACACCATGGACAGCAGCTGTGCAAGATTCCTCCGAGCTATCCTGATATTGTACCTATAGAGGAAATGCTGTTTATGAAACTGAAATACATTAAAAATTCCCTGAGTCAGACAGCCTCGTATCATCTTTATAACCACCATTTAAAACAAAGGATATTCGAGAATTTTCTGCTTACAGCACATTGAAACTGTATTAGATGAACATAGACCAAAAACAATGAGTAGTCCTGTAGCACCTTAGAGACTAACAGAATTATATATAGTATCATAAGTCTTCCTAGGCAAAACCTACTTCATCAGATGATGAGCTGGAGAGGAAACTATATATTAGCTCCAGTAACAGTGTGCTGATAATCACATGTTGAGAGTACATATCACAAATCCTAAGGATCCAGTGGCATTGGGTTGTAGTTTTTGTTCTCTTCGAACCCTCGTTGTTGTAACAGGCTATTTGTTTCAGACTTCTTGTACGTTTTGTTCATTTCTTTTCTGGTGATGAGACTCTATCTGCCCAAAAAATCACAGCTGTAAAATGTACTCTGCTATTTCACTTAGCCATTTGCAGTACAATTACTTCTGAAGCAAAGTCAGAAGTTATATTCTACTTATATAAATCATAGTGTTCATTGTGTTTATACTTGGAAAGAACATAAAAATGGCCATACTAACGGTCAGCCTAACGGTCCATCTGGCCCAGTATCCTGTCTGCCGACAGTGGCCAATACCAGATGCTCCAGAGGGAGGGAACACAATAAGTTATTCTCACATGATCCCTCTCTTATCACCCAGGAGAAATATAAAGGAAAATATACAGAAAATGTAAAGGAGAGAGGGAATATTAGGAACTAGATTTTTAGTTTCATATCCTTCCTTTCTTGCAGAGAAGATCACCAAAGAAGCCTCTTGGCTAGCTTCTACTTTCAATTATTGTGGAGCAAACCTGACAAATGATATCAGAATCTGTCCCTCTCTTTCCATGTTTGACCCACTTCAATTTTAGGTTTAAATTGATTGCTGCTGGAAGGACAGAATTCAGCTTTCAGTAGGCACTTCATCTAAATGAGTGGCAGCTACTTCTGAATTTGTGGCTTGTTATCCTCAACTGAAAAAAAGAAGAGATGAGGAAGTGAGACATCACATTAAGTCATCTTCTTGATTTTTCTGCAGGGCAGGAGATTAAGTAAAAGATAATAATCTGCACAGCTCATTGGAATTTCAAACAGCTGAAAGTGCCTCCATTCTTTTTCAGTTCCTCAGAAAATAGAAATCATAGAAATGTAGGACTGGAGGCGAGTTCATGAGATCATCTAGTTCAGTCCTCTTCTCTGAGGCATATCTGAGTGTACAACTAGACCATGCATGGCAGATGTTTATCTAACATGTTCTTTATAACCACCAGTGATTGTGAGTAAACAGCCTCCCTTGGAAGCCTATTCCAGTTTTTAACATTGTCCTTATTGTTAAAACATTTTTCCTAATTT